AAAAAAAAAAAAAAATTATTTTAACATGAATGAGTTCGTTAATATTAAATTCTCTGTATCCCCATCCAAAACTTCAACTCTCGAGAAAAGAGAAACAAACCAATCAATAACACTCGCTTCGAAACAATTGCAAATTTGAAAATTTACATTATTCATCGCGCATCCCCCACGAAGCAACACGATTTCCCACCACAATCCACCGATTCGAAATCCTCCCACCGTGAATATCAATGTCGGCCAATTAGCATTCGAAAAGTCTCGCCGCAGCCTCGAATCGGCGTGTCGGTATCGTTTCTCGCTTTCAAGTTCACCGCCTCGCCTCTCGTTCGATGTATATCCGATCACCGCCGAGTCTCGAGGATGGATTTTTCTAACCCAGTTTCCTTGGCGAACGTGGCCGTGGATATCGACGCGAATTGCACACCTGTTGTTGTTCGAGTTTCGTGCATCGCGTCGACACGGTCCCGTGCGGACGATGCACGAAATTGTGCCGTGCATTGCCATGCACGTGGGGAGGCCAGCTACGCGCCCTTCTTGATATTCCTGTTGCGCGATCCGAACGAAGGAGAGACGGAATTCGCCGCGAAACGAGCGTAGCTGTATGACCCAAATACAAGTAAATGAGAACGACCGTGACGAGTACGATATAACTTGATTCGTAGTTCGAGCGATGCAACGATGGAATTATTGAAATTTTCGAGCAATTAGGGACAATTCGAGCAAATTGTGCCGGATAATGGTGGCGGAATACGGGATGGAAAGGATTGGAGTTTTTATTGAGCTGTGATTGATGCCAGGTAAATTGAAGTAGATTTGATTGATTTGATTCTGAATGTTGATTAATGATGAACGTTTTAATCGATCGATGTAATGATGAATAATATATCGGGTTTAATCGGGTGAAAGGTATAAAATTATGCACAGGAATTAAAAAAGAATTATTTGGGAAGTTGTTCGAAAAATCGAATCAAAATTTTATAAAGCATTTTCAAAATAATTTAATTTAACATTATACGAAAAGTTTTGAAAATTGGGCGGAACTGTTTTCGGTGTATAGCGATGTAATTACGAATTTGCCATTTCGTTTGAATAGCTGTTGATTGCGCTATTTCGCTAATTTAACAGGGGAAAGTGGGGGGAGGGAATGTAATAACAGTTTCGAGTTCTAATTAATACAAGATCATCCATATTTTATACAGAGTTTAACGTTTGAATCATTTTCTCGAATAAAATTTCGGATAACAAAATTTCACGGATAAACTGATGTTTAATAGTCCGTTTTATTGGATTGAAAATGCTCGAGTAATCATTAGTTGAACAATCGATTAAAAAAAACGGTAAAGATAAAAATTATTCGCGTTCGTTAAGGGACAATGTCTTTCCCGATGCATTGTAATTCGTATAATTGGGAAACGTAGAGATCATTACGTCCAATGATTTCGTTCCATTGTTGCAAACCCGATACGGTTAATTAAAGGGCGAGGGAAGCTTTTATTGTTACGCAGAGGCACTTGGAGTTCATTAAAATCTGAAATTGGTTCATCATTAAACGCGTTTAAAAAAAAAGTTCATTCGGCCATATTTTCGTTGGATTCATTATTTTTATAATTTCTGCAGGGAAAATGGAAAATGTGAAATTTTTTTTTATGCAGTATCTCGTATCGCATTGAAAATGTTATCCAATTGTCTCGTATGCTGAAATATTTGGGTCGTAATATGCATTTTAACAATGAAATGTAACGTGTATAGAATATTATTTGTCGTTAGAACAAAAATTCTGCCTCTTCTCGTGTATTACAAAATTGCAGTCACGTTTGCCAAGGAATATTTTTACGTTGTAACGTAATTGCATGATCCGCTATTACACGTAGCGTAGATAAGTACATAAAAATGATACAGAAGAGAATGATAAATAAAGATTAAAGTTTTTTCTTTATAACTTATGTCTTTATTTACGTTACGTATTTGACGAAGCATTGACTTCGCGTAGAAGATAAGTTCTATTTCGATTTTAATTTTAAGAACCTCTGTGCGAATATCGATAGAC